AAGCAGATCCAAGAAGAGTCGAGACATTCCTCGTAGTTTTGCGAAATTATAGGATATAGAGAGTTTTAACATATTGCCAATATTTTTAATAAATGAAGTTGTAAATAAACCTTCAAACATTTTAGTATTGTATGCAGTGAAATCCATAAGTCGTTATAAATACTGGTAGGACGGAATAGTAGCAGGTATTGATTAACGCACGAGTTTAAATTTCAGTTTGAATCGCTGGTGACCTTTGACATAAAGAACAACATGGATCAGCCACTGCTGCACAAACCTTATAAAGTTGAAATTTGGACAGTGATAATTAAACGCCTCGGTTGAAGGAATCGTTCCTGGAAATTCTTGCACTTTTTCCAAACATTAATATGTCAATTGTGATCACTAGGGACAAGGTGTACAATTTACGAAGAGCAACAAACTTACGAAAACCACGCTATGGACGGTCAAGGGTAGGTTGGGAGGTAAGCAAACCAGCCCTTTTGGCGTTTCTGCTGGGGCCGTATGCTGAATGTTGGGGAGGGGATGGGGTCCCCGAGGTCGACGGACTACTTGAACTCGGTCGGTACGGTAGGAGAGTGATGACGAAGTGGTGCAGCTAGGTCCAGCAGCTCCGCCAAAAGGGCTGGTTTGCTTACCCCAGGACTAAGCCTTGGAGAGAGGACGGACCTGCGCTCTCTCGCAGGTCCGTCCTCTCTTTAAGGCTTAGTTCTGAGGTAAGCATCGAGGCGGTTTTAAGGACCGAGTTGAAGTAGTCCGTCGACCGTCGGGGACCCCATCCCCTCCCCAACATTCAGCATACGGTCCAGCAAAAACGCCAAACGGCTGGTTTGCTTACTTCGTAGGTTGGGGGAGCAAGGGAACATGGAAACAAGGTGCACCTTGGGGAGGCCAGGTATCAGGTTAAGCAGTGAAAATTGAGTTAATGCGTTCGCATTTGGAGAATATAGACAAAACGATCGGTAGAATAGGATGCTGTAGGAAAAGAATGTCAGCACATGTGGAAAAGGCCAAACAAAGTTTCTAGTGAAGCACTCCGTGAACCAAGTGGAAGCGTTCCCGTCGCCAGCATTTGTGACAGATGTCGGCGGGAATTTGAACGCGTAGCAGTCCTTCCAGTTTTTCGAATTGTTTACGGAAGAACACAATTTCTTGTTCTTTTCGTTCGCATCGTGAACTGGTCTCGTGTCAGGTCCCGTCCTATGGGTGAGATAGAATTGGGATTCTCCTGTGGACTTTTTCTTTAAGTTTTAGGAAAATCTCATGGCTCAACAAGTACTGACAGTAGTTGCGGAGAAGGTTGAAATTCACTTTTTGTTAGCAGAGCACTAGAAAGGAGTCTAATCATACGCTGCCATTGAGCTTAAAGGCAAAGGTCGGGATTAGTTGACCAAACCAACCCTTTCGGTCATGCCTGTACTTGGTTACGCACCCGTAGAGATGTTCCCACGCTCAAATCCCGAAACGGCGCAGTAATAAGGCCCCAGGGCATGTACTATGCGCTATCGCCGCCTGGCCCCGCTACGACCGCCCACCTTGGGATGTGGTGCGTGGCTGGCATAACGTGTGAAATCAGCTAGGTTGATTGCCGTATGAACCGATTAATGACTGATATCTTCAGAAAACTTGTTTT